AACTTAGAAGAATATAAGATCCATTTGACCAAGATGACTTAGAACACTACTCCAAGATGACAGCTGAATGTGGAGAACAAGTACAAATTGTGGAAGATACAACAACCATAGGTTAATGCTTTGGATATGGTATTTTGTAATTATAGGTTATAATGTTATAAATATGGTATTTTGTATGGATATAGTAGGAATCAAGATTGGTAAACAATGTAATTACAATTGAATCTTCAAGTTTTATGAAAGAAATAATTTTTTAGGATATCTAAAATGAAATTAGTACATCATTTTTACAGATAATAAACAGCGGTTTTTTGGAACAAAATCGTCTTTTTTAGATTTAATAGACGTCTTTGGATATAATAAACGACGGTTTTTTCAGAAAAAGTGTCGTCTTTACATTTAATAGATGATGGTTCTATAAAAAAAAGTGTCGTCTTTACATTCAATAGACGACGGTTTTTTTAGAAAAAGTGTCGTCTTTACATGTAATAGACGACGGTTCTTTTAAAAACCGTTGTTTTTACATATAATAGACGACGGTTAATTACCGTCGTAGTTTGACTTTAAAAAAGATGACGGTTGATTTAACGACGGTTTGAAAAAGAAAAAGACGACGGTGTTTCCCCGTCGTCTATTTCAATTTTTGTAGTAGTGATTCTTGACATATGTGATATATATATACACTATTTTTCGTATGTATTGTGAGTTCGAATTTTTGATTCTTTATAATGTGTAAGAGGCCCCCACACACATGAAATTCTGGCTTCGCCACTGACTAGACAGTTGTGCAAGCACTGACGAACCTACACATGAGCAAGGAGATGCAGCTACATAATAATGAGACGTTATTATATGCAGTCACAATAATGAGACGTTAGAAGTGGGGGCAATAATAATGCAGTCACAATAATGTTCATTGCATTATTGAGGATAAGGTTATAACTTATATGAATGTGACGTTAGGAAAACACAGTCAAAAAAGTAATGTGGACTGTTGTCGGCAACGTTTAGAAAAAAAATTACTACAACGGCTTGTTATAAAAGCCAAGGGTGGTGAGAATTGTTACTTCACCAAACCAACCATTCTTTTGAGTCTTTGCCATTAGCTCTCGAGAGCTCTGCTCTCTCCTTTAATCAAATTTCCCAGTTGTTCATCTACACTTCATTTTCCCTTTTGTTTTTCAACAACTATTATTGAGTAAATTCTCTAAACAGGCGTCAGCCCCACCATCTGCACAAAGATATGATTTGATTTCCATCCGAAGTCTCAGTCATACAATGATTGAATTTGATGATTTAACGGTTATTTTAATTCTGATTTTGATGATTTTTTACAGCTACACTCCTTGACCCTATATGAATACAATGACTTAATTTGATCTTCAATTTAAAATATTTACACTAGTGGATACCACAAAATCTTATGTTATATTTAACAAAAGTATAAATAAACTCTTAATTGTTAGTGAATATATTGTTTTGATGGCATACACATTTTACGAAACTAGTTTCAACGATCCAACCGTCAAACTTGTTTGTTTATACTACGAGATCATATATGCCAAAAATCGGAAAAAATAAACGTTCAGAGATCAAGTAATGGGACAAAATATTTCAACGGTTATAAACGAAAAATTACGATTTAATGGTTATTTCAACTCTGATTTTGATGATTTTTTACAGCTACACTCCTTGACCCTATATGAATACAATCACTTAATTTGATCTTCAATTGAAAATATTTACACTAGTGGATACCACAAAATCTTATGTTATATTTAACAAAAGTATAAATAAACTCTTAATTGTTAGTGAATATATTGTTTTGATGGCATACGCATTCTAAAAAACTAGTTTCAACGATCCAACCGTCAAACTTGTTTGTTTATACTACGAGATCATATACGCTAAAAATCGGAAAAAATAAACGTTCAGAGATCCAGTAATGGGACAAAATATTTCAACGGTTATAAACGAAAATCACGATATAACAGTTATTTCAACTATGATTTTGATGATTTTTTATAGCTACACTCCTTGACCCTATATAAATACAATCACTTAATTTGATCTTCAATTTAAAATATTTACACTAGTGGATACCACAAAATCTTATGTTATATTTAACAAAAGTATAAATAAACTCTTAATTGTTAGTGAATATATTGTTTTGATGGCATACGCATTCTACGAAACTAGTTTCAACGATCCAACCGTCAAACTTGTTTGTTTATACTACGAGATCATAGACGCCAAAAATCGGAAAAAATAAACGTTCAGAGATCAAGTAATGGGACAAAATATTTCAACGGTTATAAACAAAAAATCAAGATTGAACGGTTATTTCAACTCTGATTTTGATGATTTTTTTATAGCTACACTCCTTGACCCTATATGAATACAATGACTTAATTTGATCTTCAATTTAAAATATTTACACTAGTGGATACCACAAAATCTTATGTTATATTTAATAAAAGTATAAACAAACTCTTAATTGTTAGTGAATATATTGTTTTGATGGCATACGCATTCTACAAAACTAGTTTCAACGATCCAACCGACAAACTTGTCTGTTTATACTTCGAGATCATATACGCCAAAAATCGGAAAAAAATAAACATTCAGAGATCAAGTAATGGGATAAAATATTTCGACGGTTATAAACGAAAAATCACGATTTAATGGTTATTTCAATTTCAATTTTGTTGATTTTTTACAGCTACACTCCTTGACCCTATATGAATACAATGAACTAATTCGATCGTCAATTTAAAATATATATTTTCTAACAAAAACCCAATCCGAACTACAATAATATATTTGGCTTTTTATCACAAATGGTCCCTTAGGTTTGCAAAATTATCGCATTTCGTCCCTAACGTTTTTTTGTGACACTAATGGTCCCTAAGGTTACCCTTCACACATCAAAATGGTCCCTACCGTTAGCTTCCGTCAAATTTTCTATTAAGTAGCTGATGTGGCACGTATGTGGAGCCCACACATCCAATAGTATACATCCATGTGGCTTTAAATAAAATATATTATATTTTAAATATTTTAAAACTTAAAATCCAAAAAAAAAAAGGACCTATACTACCTCCTCTGCCGACGCCTCGCACCCACCCTCGCAGACCCCCTCTGCCTCTCTCTCCCTCCTTTTCCTCCCTTCTCTTTCTCTCTCTCCCTCATCTTCCTTGATTTTTACAGGCTGATCTACCATAGCTTGGTGAAATAAACACTTGGGTCCTTTTTTGTTAGAAAATCAATGAAACCCACAACCAAGAAAGATCATTTGCTTCAGTTTTTAAAATAGAAGCTAATCATTTTTGTTGAATTTCTGCACTCGTTTTTACCCAGAACCTGTCTCTGCAGCATTGGAACCAAGATCGGGCTTGGCATAGTTGCAGTACACTTGGGTCCTTTTTTGTTTGACCAAAACCTGCAAATCATTTCCATTTTAAAAGGTCAGTAATTTGTTTAATTTATTTGTTTCTTAATATAATGGCTCCGACATAAATAAATTGTTGTGCAAATATAGTGTCTGATTCATCATATAATTTTTCTTTCTTTCTTTTTTCACGTTTATAATCCTAATAAAGTGCCATGTTTTGTTTTGATGTGATAACCTTGTTCAGCTCAAGAATTGGAGAAAGATGTACTTGGTTCATCAGCTAATTCATTCCCACTAGAGAAAAAACTAGGCATTTTTGACAAAATCTTTACTGCATACCATGAGGCAAGGAGCTGCATTCGCAATGACTTGGTATGGAAGTTGCCCAATATTAGAACATTTCTGTTTTGGAGAGAGGAGGGAGGAAGAGAAGGGTGAGAGAGGCAAAGAGTGGGTCTGCGAGGGTTGGAGGCACTGGCAGAGGAAGAACGCAGATGGTACAGGTTTTTTTTTTTTCTTTGGATTTTAAGTTTAAAAATAGTTATAATATAATATATTTTATTTAAAGCCACGTGGATGTATACTATTGGATGTGTGGGCTCCATACACGTGCCACGTCAGCTACTTAACAGAAAATTTGATGGAAGCTAATGGCAGGGACCATTTTGATGTGTGAAGGGTAACCTTAGGGATCATTAGTGTCATAAAAAAATGTTAGGGACGAAATGCGATAATTTTGCGAACCTAAGGGATCATTTGTGATAAAAAGCCTAAATTTAAAGCTACTTAATAAATATATATACCGTTTAATTTCTTAAGTGTTATGCATACAAAATAAAAAAAACAAAAATAAATTAGTTTAGGCGACAAAATATTTGGATTACGTCATGCAAAGATTTTTTTTTTAAAAAAATTTATTTTGTTTATTCTTGTAAAGACTTTGCGCGACGAACCACACTTCGTAGCTCTAACAAAAATCCGTTCCGAACTAAAATAATAAATTTAAAGCTACTTAATAAATATATATACCGTTTAATTTCTTAAGTGTTATGCATACAAAATAAAAAAACAAAAATAAATTAGTTTAGGCGACAAAATATTTGGATTACGTCATGCAAAGATTTTTTTTTTTTAAAATTTTATTTTGTTTATTCTTGTAAAGACTTTGCGCGACGAACCACACTTCGTAGAGCAATACTTTGTGCAACGAAAGCTTAGTAATTCGTCGCGCAAAGTTATGCAAAGATTTTAAAAATAATTTTTTTTAAATTTATTTTTGTAAAGACTTTGCGCGACGAACCCCACTTTGTAGCGCAATACTTAGTGCAACGAAGCTTAGTAATTCGTCGCGCAACATTATGAAAAAATTTTAATAATAATTTTTTTAATTTATTTATTTTTGTAGAGACTTTGCGCAACGAAGCTTAGTAATTCGTCGCGCAACATTATGAAAAAATTTTAATAATAATTTTTTTAATTTATTTATTTTTGTAGAGACTTTGCGCAACGAAGCTTAGTAATTCGTCGCGCAACATTATGAAAAAATTTTAATAATAATTTTTTTAATTTATTTATTTTTGTAGAGACTTTGCGCAACGAAGCTTAGTAATTCGTCGCGCAACATTATGAAAAAATTTTAATAATAATTTTTTTAATTTATTTATTTTTGTAGAGACTTTGCGCAACGAAGCTTAGTAATTCGTCGCGCAACATTATGAAAAAATTTTAATAATAATTTTTTTAATTTATTTATTTTTGTAAAGACTTTGTGCGACGATGTGTGTGTCGTTGCGCAAAATTTAGTCGCGTAAGACTTTTAGCGACGAAGTTTTGACTTTCGTCGCGCAAGGGTTTTTTTTTACTAGTGCATGTCAGTCTAAATTGTTGTTTCTTTTTCAATTACAAAAGTGTATTAGAATAACCTGCGGTTCCAACATATCCACAATAATACATGCAACGAGGGGTAGCTAGAATTTTGTTTTGTCTTATGGAAATAATTTTTTTTCTTTTGGATGAGATCCAAGGGTGTCCACCGCCGACAGCAGTGACTAATCCCTTTCGCCGCGGGAGCTCTCCAAAGGAGGTAAATAGCTGGCCACGAAATGCGCTCAATGATTTTATTATTTACTTTAAAATGAGGGGCCAATACTAGCTCAATTGTGTGTTGTGACATTTTCTGTATCATAGATAATGAAGATGACGGGGTAGTCATCATCTTTAACTTTGTCACTTGTTGACAGCCTACAAAAATATGGCCCTAAACTATTTGTGTGATTTTTTTTAGTACTTTGAAATAAATATTATGTGAACTAAAATTCAAGATTGAAAATAGAAAAAGTAACAAACATTATGTAACATAACACAAGAAGGAAAGGATAGAAACAAAATATAAACTTCTTCAAAATTATTCCAATTTTTGCCTCCCTTCAAAATTATTACAGTCTTTCCCTCCGTGTAAACGCAAATGATGCCTCTCCTATGATAAGTAAATGATTCCATGCCTCTCCTAGGATAGAATCAAACGTTTTGTCACAAAATTTATCAAGGGCCTTGAGATAAGTAAATGATGCCTCTCCTATGATGAATTGCGTACACCGTTGATAGGTAGGGGAAATTTCACTAAGTGTGGCATCAGTCAAGCTAAGGAAGAAAAAGCAGCCGATCACACAAGCCGTAATGGCAAGTCCCGGAGAATGACATAATACTGCATATGTCCCTGTAAGGAATGCAACCACCATTAAAATTAAAGCCACCATAGTGATATACAACACCATGTCAAACGCTGCAGAAATCCCTTTTCGCTTTGTGTGCATCGATACATAAAGGTGTATCAAGACAGAGAAACTGGAAATACACAAGGCGAGTGTGTTTGTTATAACAAAGGCCTGGAAAGCTGCATTTTTTGATAGAACTGCAAAACCCTGCTCTGGTCCTTTCTCACCTTGGTAACCACCAGGGATGGTGAAACCTGCTGCGAATGTTACAGTTGCTATGAGGGCAGCAACTACCAGATGGGCTTCCCTAATATTGTTCGTTTTATCAGTGTCTTCACCACCTTTGTTTTCCTTCAATTTCAGATGGCCACCATTTCTTTTCCTTAGAATTCGATGGCCTGATTCTGCACCATTCTTTTTCAAAGCTTGTTCCAGATATATCTGCAACACAGACCATCAATGTAGAGTTGCAAATTCTTAGTTGAGTCTCCGACACAAATTCTCACTTAACGAGGGATTATTAAGTTGTCTAGATAAAAGTTCATACCTCATTTTTTGAATCATCAGCTATAATGACATCAAGAGCGTTCATGTTTTCCTTATTGAATGCCATCTTATCAACTCTAGCATCACCAACGAAACGAGTCCCGAGAGAAACATCAAGTAGATGGAGGGGTGTGTTGCCGTCAACGTCCTTGGCATTTAGGAGGATGTTGCTAAGCCATGAATCCTTTAGAACAAAAGTCGTGATTCGTGATTGATGTTTCTCCAAAGCATAATGAAGAGCATCCATCATTGAGTTCTTTGTCCAAAGTCCATCAACAACAAGATCTTAAAAGGGCAGTGAGTTAGTCATTAATTCTCAACACGGTCTTCTTATCAGTTTTGTCAACAATGTAGGCAGAGGATCTATGAGCTTGCAGTAGTTGTTTTACAATTGAAGTACAACCAGAGAGTGCAGCGTAGTGAAGTGGGGTCCACCCTTGTTCGTCTGCTGCTATCGCCAAATCCTTTTTCTTCTCTAGTATTTTTTCAGTCATTTCTAAATAAATAAAAAACGAAATAAAAATCAATACAAACTGGGTTAGGCAACCGAACCAAGATGAACCGAGAGAGACATTCTAACAACCGAACCAACGTCTTTTGGGAGTGACGCGTCCATAGGTTTTACTAACCGTGGTCGGTTCACCATCGGCTTGATTCAGTTAGCTTTAGAAATATCCAACCAAAAAGGAAAGTGAATAAAAAACAATGTATAATTGGAAAGTGAATCAAAAAGGAAAAGAAAATGAAAGTTTATATACTTTTATCACCGTAAATCACTGCAGCATGCAAAGCCGTTCTTCCATTGGGGCCTTGGTAATTTGGATCCGTGCAAGTGCTAAGTATTTCAGAGAACAAAACACCATATTTCCTCTCGGCAGCCAAATAAAGTGGAGTCTCCCCAGCATCATTAGCAGAGTATAACACAAGAGGAGAAAACAAGTTGAATAATTGTAAGTGGAAGAAGCTGGTATTCCAAGTTGAGTTAGAGCTGAAGTTTTACTTGTGTGTTCAGAACGAAAGTGATTAAATCGCACTGCAAAGTGCAAGGCTGTGTCCTTCTCCTTATTGGTTTCCCTTATGAGCGTCTGCCAGGCTTGTACTGATGATAAGGGCCCGTTCTCAAGGTCATCAGGACGGCCAGCTTTTGCAGTTTTGATAAGAAGTTCAACTATATCCACACGCCCATGTCTGGCCGCAATGTGTAAGGCAGTCTCGCCACTCTCGTTCTTTTGCGATAGCAGTGCTGGACACATTTGAAGGATTTTATCCACAACGCTGGGTGGCCTCAGCGCTTTTTCTTTTGTTTGGTGGGCTGCTTGCAAAAGCTATATAAATTTAGTGGACTGTGTTCTTGGTTGGAGTCAATATTTGGTCAAGATGGTGTCCACTAAGGACATCAGTTCTTCCTTCTTTTGCAGCGTTGAAAACATGAAGATCCATGCCCCTGATTAAAACTGTGTTGTCTGCTGCAGCTTCCTGGTCAACGGCATTGGCCGATGCTAATGGAGTACTACTCTCAGTCTGATCAGTCGAATGATCCATTTTGGGGCCGTTGCAAATATCGGAAGTACCGGAAACTCTAAACCAACGGCCCTTTTAAAATGGATGTTAGGATATTGTTTGTACCCAATTTTGGTCAATGGACCAAAACTGGAGAAATTATAGAGTAGTACAGTATCACCACGTCAGCTGGTGATACTTCCATTTAAAATTTGCCATGTGTATAACTTTTTAAAGAAAAATTAACTTTTTATACAGCTGGATTTAAAAGTTCAATTTTATAATTTAAAACCATTAAAAAATAAAAAATAAAACTCAATAATAATAAAAATCCCTAGCAACCCCTTCCCTGAGCTCGCCGCCAAAGCTCCTCCTCCACACTTTTTGCCATGGCTGCCCATCGGTTTTTCTCTTCTTTTTTTTAAATCTCTCCCTCCCCTCTGTTATGGGTTTAGGGTTCAAGGAATTTTCTCACTATTATGGGATTAGGGTTCAAGGGGTTTAGATTGAAGATTTGATGGGGTGGATTTACGATATTTATGGAATCATTTAATTTCATACGAAGGTTTTGAGGAATCTAATAAGTTTCCAAAGTCCTACAAGATATATGGCGATTGAGATGTTTGACAGGAAAAGCAAATAAGGTAGGTGAATAGGAGTTGGAGTTCGTCGATGAAGCAGGTGGTTTTTGGGGGGTTTTCTTTTTTCTTTTTCTAAAGTTTTTTATATCTCTTTAATTTTATTTAATAAGAGTTAAAATGAGTGGTGAATCTAGTTGTCAATAAATTATACACGTGGCGAATTTTGAGTGGAAGTATCACCAGCTTACGTGGTGATACCGTATCATTCTATAATTTCTCCAAGGGAACTACTTGATCTCTTGAGTACCGATCAAATAAGGATCATAATTAGCTGTAGATTTGTCCACATCATCATCATCATCATGATCACAAATCCTTCTTGGAGCTGCCATAACTCTTAGCATGGAAGTCCATGAACATAGCCAAAAGAGAAACATAGAAAAAAATATTGAAGCACCATCCCCAGATCCCGCAGCAACCCGACCCGTTAAAGTGATAGATGAGCATCCAAACCAACCCCACGAAGCTTGACATGAACTGAAATATTTGAAACCTGTCCCAAACCCACGCGAAGGTGAGAAGGACCATCAACATTTAATGACGATTTGACTTTTCCCTCTTCCATTAAGAAAAGCCAGCCGCCTAAGGAAGCCATCAAGTCAGATAAGAAGCCAACCTGCACATCAAATCACCATGGACGAAGACGCTTCAGACCAGGAAACTAATTCGAAGGACCGGCGGTTCTCGTTAGAAAGATCGATCTCCCCCTCTATGGACCAGTTCAGAACGTCAAATCAACAAACTGACTTTGGACAACAGCCAAATATCCTTGCTCAGTCATCATCACTTAAGACCTCTTCTGCTCCTATAAATAAAGAGCTTCCAGCACAGAAGAAGGGGACTCTCTCTCCAAAAACCAGACGCAACGTCTTAAAAAGCACTCAAGGCATTCCAGTCATCTCGTTCGGACTTCAGATAGCCAGACGATCCCTGTGTTCATCTTTTTATTTTTCTGCCATTTCCATGGTATGATTAACTCCTAAAAATGTTCAGTTTGAATTTGTATAATTTAGCCGGCTATGAACCCTAAATCACCATGATAATGTACTTCTTAGTTTGGAATTAATAAGCATGGATCTCTGTTGTTTCTGTCATTAATTTAAGAACTAAGTAAATGAGAATGATGGAACCCATATCTAAAGAGCTTTGTTCTGCTTATGTTTGCTTCCATTTCCATATATGTAATATTTAAGCCATTTCCCGCTTTTCTTTTATTTAAACTATAACATCCACGAAAGGTTTTAGCCCGAATCGGGCCGCATAGGCTTGAGGGATACAAACCGGTTGGGCCCGAAAGTCATATAGTTGGGCTCGAAATTGTGGTTAAATTATATATAAAAAGTTGGGCCCGAAATTGTGGTTAAATTATATATAAAAATTTAAATTCAGACTTAGGTTCGTAAACCCGCGTGAGGTGTTTGCTGACCAAGAATTTTGTCTTTTTCCCTTGCTTGGATAGGTGTTGCTCGCACCAGCCATAGCCGACATATGCACGAGAGAAAGAATTGTGAAGTCCTCTTAACTGGGGCATAGAAAAGAACCAAACCAGGCCAGTACCCCACCTGGTGCACAATGGCTTGAATAGAAGTTCAGGAAGAAGGCGCAGACTCCACAAAATATCAACCACGCTCGCTCATACCAGGTCTGTTGGACTAGTCATATACCTAACAGTGGCACGCCTATAAAGCAGAACCCATGAATCAGAAGAATTTCAAGAATTAGGCCCAAAACAGGGCTGGGATGGATTTCTTGTCAACCTGATTCAACTTTCAATTTTGTTGAATATTGAAATAGCATCTGCATGGGCCAAAAAGGAAACAATCGGGGCATTGGTGTAGGTCTAATAGCTCCTGTATTCTGTCAAGCACGCCCACTACGACATTGGGCGAAAAGAATACTTGACAGGAGAAGAGAACCAACAGATATTAATCAGAAGATGATATAAGTGGATGAAAAACGTTTAACTGATTAGCAGATGAGATGAGTGCAACCAAGCAAAAGCAACCACACAAATCCAGCGAAAACGACCAAGCAATACAAGCCATCCTAAAGCTAGTAAAAGCCCTAGGGAGGGGAGAGGACAAAAGCTGACATAATGCTCACGTGATTGTGACATCAGCAGTTAATTTAAATAATAATAAAAACCAAAAATTTCAGAATTTTTTTAAATAAATACCTAGCCATATTCTTCACTTTCCACACTAAAACTCTATACAAATTCCTCTCCTCATATCTCATGTGAATAATGAACGAATGAAAAAAAACTACGTAACAATCTGTTGTATCTTTTTCATCATTTAATCTCTTAAATGTGGAATCTTAATTCGAAATGTGAACGAGTGGAAAAAAACTACGTAACAATCTGTTGTATCTTTTTCATCATTTAATCTCTTAAATGTGGAATTGTAATCTGAAATGTGAACGCGTGGAAAAAAAACTACCTAACCTTCTGGACATTTGGTTAAAGTCAGAATAACATCAATGTCATCACATGGAAGATTATTGATTTATGGACGATATGCATGCAGCTGGCCTCTGCATTTCGTAATTGATTAGTAATTGATCATACATTCAACAACTTACGTCCCCATATATTAATATGAATGATGTAGAACACATGGTCGAATTGATAGAGGAACAGTTGGAGGTGTACATACAGATCACGAGCCTTCTTCCACCAAAAGCTATAGCAGATCCAAAATTTAATTTTCTATGTTATTTTGATTTTGGACTATCAAGGAAAAACGTCATTTTATATATTGAACTAACCATCCAAACTTCAACCAAGTTTTTCTTTTGAAACTGAACTTGGATGAAGTTTAAAAGTATAAAAAAGGGAAACTTACACTCAAGTCACTTGAATTTTGTGTCGCGTGTCAATGTGTCCCTCAAAAACAAATATTGATTCATCACATTCTTTTACATCAAAACATAGCACCATGACTGAATTTTTAACGAAATGTTTGACAGAGTTGGGCTAATTGCAAGATTGCAATAACATACTCATAATACTTTAGGTGGTAACATGAGACATACATACATAACTACATACATAAAAGGAAAAACATTTCTATATACCAGTAACCCTTTTTAAAGCTGAGCCTAAAGACAGAATGAAGCAAAATACAAATAAGCCAAACATCTAAGAAGAATAAGAACAAGGCAAACACAAATGAAGTCGAATACAGAAAAGCAGCGTACATGTCCTGATCAGGTAGTGAATCCATCAAGAGCAAATAATTCACCACATGTTGTCATATGAAATGGTTTTGACAAATGCAGCCTCTGAGTTGATGAGAGGAACTGAGAAACTTTCTTCATTGTTGGACGAGACTGCGGACTGGGATTCAATGATGCAAATGCCATCTTCACAAGAGAGACCACCTCCCCTGCTTCTTGATTTGTTGGGGGGGAGATGCGTTGGTCCAGAACATCTGAAATTGGCATTTCATAAAAAGGTGATGCAGGTGAGGACGACGATGACGCCCCAGATGATAAAGATGAGAAAACATCTCCTGGATGGCATCCCATAATTATTTCCAGTGTGACAACTCCAAAGCTATAAACATCGCACTTCTCGTTCACTTCCATTGTATATGCAAGCTCTGCTAATAAAAAGCTCATAAAAGAAATTGTATTATGAATAAATCGTACAAAACACTAAGATTTCAGTGTTCAAAATATTGCCTATGAGAAGGACAGAAGGGAAGTGACTATTTTCGAATCTAATTCGAGGAAATTCAGTTCTTTTTGAAAACTAATAAGAATGGCATACCCAAAGGAATTTAGTAAAAGCTGGATGATGAAAAAGAAAAGAAACAATTAAATTAAAAAAGTTTTGATCACAATTCACCACAAAAATATCTAATTGTTATTTTTTTTTTAAATCAAACAAGTGAGAAAACTGAAGCATTGGTCTAAAAACAAAAGCTTAAAAAGTGTTAAATACATAGAAAGAGAATAACAACATTACCTGGTGCCATGTAGCCATATGTGCCTGCAGCGGTAGTCCAATTAATTGAGTCTGGATTTAAAAACTTAGCAGTGCCAAAGTCTGAAATACAGGCCTCATATTCAGAGTCCAACAAAATGTTCTTGCTTGAGATGTCACGATGTACAATCGGTGGCAAGCACTCGTGGTGCATGTAAGACAATGCATGAGCTACACCTTTAACAACATTCACCCTTTTACTCCACCCCAACTCTTTAGCAGCTTCATCTTTACTCAACATTGCGGCCAAGCTACCTCTTTCAAGATACTCATACACCAAAAACGAGTGCCGTTTATGCGCACAGAAACCATAGAGCTTCACAATGTTTCGATGTCGTATCTCAGTGAGTGCCCTTACTTCATTTAAGAACTCCTTCTGAAAATCTGTCTCGCCATCCCATAGAAGATGGAGTTTCTTCACGGCCACTACGTTGGCAGATGAGAAATTCACTCGGTAGACGCTTCCATGTCCTCCCTTCCCAATGCAATATGTGGAATCAAAATCTTCTGTTGCCCTTATGATTTCATCATACATTGATTTTCCATCAAAATTTAAAACTGAAAAGGAAATTTCTGCATGCATATTGTTTTGTTCTTTATCCTGATGCTTCTTCTTCCTTTGCACTACAAAGACAATTGTAAAGAAAGCAGATAGAAGTACAAATACTGCTAGAAGGGAGAATGTGATTCCAAATACCCGTTTTTGGTGCTTTTTTGTCCCATGTTCATTGCAGGGTGGCAGAGCTCCAACTTTGCCACACAATCCTTTGTTCCCTTCTAATGCTTCTGGTTGAGCTTTTCGAAATGCACTGTTGTTCGGTAGGGGACCTTCGAAGTGATTGTAGGATATGTCAACATACGACAAGCCGTACATGTCTTCGAAACTCGTTGGTATGAAACCCGAAAGATTGTTGTGAGAAAGATTGAGGGACACCAAACTCTCCATGTTGCTCATTTCTGATGGTATCCTACCTTCAAGTGAGTTATGACTTAAATCCAGGTCGGTCAATTGAACTAACTTTCCCAACTTAATTGGAACTGCTTGAGCCACCTTATTGTTGCTCAAATTCAAGTAGTGTAGTCTGAACAAGTCACCTAGAGTGCTCGGAATTGACTCATTGAATTTGTTTGTTGACAAGTCAAGATATTCAAGATCAGTCAATGATCCCAATTCCAAGGGTATACGGCCCGAAAGCTGATTTCCATTCAACATCAGCTTCACCAAAGAAGTCAGTCTCCCGAATTCCTTTGGAATCATCCCAACTAAATTATTTAAAGAAAGATCCAGCCCATTAATTTGGGTTCCATTTCCAATCTCAAGTGGTATGTTCCCAGTAAGGTTGTTTCCCGCAAGTCTTAGTGTTTTTAATTGTGGGCACTGCCCCCACTTGTAAGAGATTTCACCGTACAAATTATTGTGGCTTACATCTATAAAATCAAGATTCGGATAAACACCAAAGTCTTCAGATATATTGCCTGTCAATTGGTTCTGGTTAAGATGGACTCTGACTAAGCTCGTACAATTTTTCAAGCTTTTGGGGATTGGGCCAGTTAAATGATTGGTGCTTGCTGAAAAGTTTGTGAGTTTTCCACCTTGGCAAATATTTTGGGGCAAATAACCCGAAAATTGGTTGCTACCCAATTGCAGGTCAATCAACTTCTTGAGATTTTCTATCTCTTCGGGGATGGGGCCAGAAAGTTGGTTATCCCGTAAGTATAAGATTTCCAAGTTGCTCAGGTTACCAAATGAAATAGGAATTGAACCATAGAGTTGATTCTCGCTCAACTTTAGATCTACAAGAGACTTCATGTTACCTATTTCATTAGGAATCGTGCCAGAAAGTTGAGTAGCACAGAGATAAAAATAGGTAAGGCTTGTGAGATTGCCTACTGATCTTGGAATTGACCCATTGAGTTGATTCTCATGCAACTGTAGATCCACAAGAGATTTCAAATTTCCTATTTCCTTGGGAATTAAACCTGAAAGTTGATTGTTATGCAAGTACAAAGTGTTTAACTTTTTCAAGTTACCAATATTTGGAGGGATTAGACCACTTAAAGTGTTGGAGGACAACTCTAAATCTACAAGAGACTTCATGTGACCTATCTCCTTAGGAATAGAACCAGAAAGTTGATTGGCATAAAGATAAAGATGGGTAAGGCTTGTTAGATCACCTAGTGATCTTGGAATTGAACCGTTGAGTTTATTCTCATACAAATATAGCTCCACAAGAGATTTCATGTTACCTATCTCTTTGGGAATAGAACCAGAGAGTTGATTGGTATTCAGGTACAAAGTGTTTAACTTTTTTAAGTTACCAATATTTGGAGGGATGAAACCAGTTAAAGTGTTGAAGGCCAATTTTAGATCTACGAGAGACTTCAAGTTACATATCTCATTGGGAATAATGCCAGAAAGTTTATTGCCAAAGAGATGAAGATGGGTAAGGCTAGTTAGATGACCTAGTGATGTTGGAATTGAACCATTGAGTTGATTCCCACTCAAGTCTAGAATCACAAGACTCTTCATGTTACCTATCTCATTGGGAACAATACCAGAAATTTGAGTAGCATAGAGATAAAGAGAGGTAAGGCTTGTGAGTTTGCATAGTGAGCTTGGAATTGAGCCATTGAGTTGATTCTCATACAATTGTAGATCCACAAGAGATTTCAAGTTCCCTATCTCTTTGGGAATAGAACCAGAGAGTTGATTGGTATACAAGTACAAAGTGTTTAACTTTTTTAAGTGACCAATATTTGGAGGGATGACACCACTTAAAGCGTTGGAGGACAACTCTAGATCTACAAGAGACTCCATGTTACCTATCTCCTTAGGAATAGAACCAGAAAGTTGATTGGTATAGAGATAAAGATGGGTAAGGCTTGTTAGATTGCCTAGTGATCGTGGAATTGAACCATTGAGTTTATTCTTATACAAATATAGCTCCACAAGGGATTTTAGGTTACCTATTTCCTTGGGAATATCCCCAAAGAATGTATTTTCATAGAGACCGAGAAAGGTAAGATTTCTTAGGAGACCGATTTCTGGTGGGATTCTTCCGGACAATTGATTGAGAGAGAGATCAAGATAGTGGAGTTTGGAGAGGTAACTGATTTGAGGTGGGATGGCATCAAAGAGTTTGTTCATGTTGAGGTCAAGATGTTCAAGATTAGGGAAGGACAAGAATGAAAACTCAAGTAGCGTACCTTGTATACCACAAGTGGAGAGGTTTATCTTGTTAACACTTCCAGCTGTGTTGCATGAAACACCAGTCCAAGTGCATGTGATTGTATTTTCTTTTGGATTGGTGGAAGAATTGGTGGCATTATGACTGGGAGGGTACTGCCAGTTGAGAATATTGAGGGCTTTGTTTTGAAATAAGCTGGCTTTCCATTTGAGAAGAGCCTTTGCTTCAGTATCAGAAGCAAAAGCAACCCAATTTAGTGATGAAACATACAACAAGGTAAGGCAATAAGCCAGGAAGCATACTTTAACAGAAGTTAAAGATCTCATGGTTATTGTTTGTGTGCTATTCGTGTGGGCAGTGCCTTTCTTATAGGTCTTTCGGATCTCTTGTATCATCACTTTTCTTTTGGGTCAAAGTCTTTGTCTCTCATTCTCTAAAGTTAAATGCCAATTTTACATTTTCTGGATGAAGTAATGAAATGAAATGAAATTAACACCTAAAGTCATCACATGGGGGTTCAGATTCTCTTTTTACCAATGTACCTCTTTCACCTCATGTGGTTGTCTTATTCTGTGGACAAAGACTTGTACAAATAATGAAATGGATGGAGCCTTTCATACACGAGTCAAAGTCTTTGTCTCCTTAAATGTAATTTTTTTATTTTCTGGACCGAAGTAATGAAATGGATGGAAATGCACTATATGCTTGACACTTTTTTTTAATTATATATATTTTATTTTCTTGGTGCATGTTCAGTGGGTCACTACAAGAAGAAAAAAGGTCAGTAATTTCTTGTGACCAAATAATTCATGGTCACAAATACACTGAATCATTCAAAATATCAAAAATATTTTTTATCAAATAAGGAGCATATAGTAAATTAACAACTTTTCATATTAAAGAAAATTTGTGACCAAATAATTCATGGTCACAAATACACTGAATCATTCAAAATATCAAAAATATTTTTTATTAAATAAGGAGCATATAGTAAATTAACAACTTTTCATATTAAATAAAATTAAAATAAAAACCAATAATATTCCTATATGGACACTGCTTATATCATTTCCCGTAAGAAGGTATGCAAATCAAATGTCAAACTGGAAAGTAGAAGTTTCGCTCCTACTTCCAAAAAAAGATATAGTAAGTTTAGTAACTTTTCACTTTTCTTTTCTCCATTATACAAAGCTTGGAGTCTTCCATACACTTGACTTGACTCAAAGTCTTTGGCTCTCATTCTTTGAAGTTAAGTATCAATTAATGACCTTTCAATAAACCAACAAAAAAAAAAGGTATCAATTAATGTGTTTTCTGCTTCATATGTTCAGATGTGTCCCACCTTAATGCTTCACAATATTGGATGCTCAGAAAGTTTTAAATTTGCACGACGTGTCTGGTGGGATCAGCGACTGTTTTTGTTTTTTTATTTTTCTTCTTCTCTAATTGGTGTGTGTTAGATAAATTGAAGAAGAACTAAACGCAAAATTGTCGTTTATTGTTTTGATTTACCATGTATAGGAATAGGAATGTGAAATTGATCCTTTGCTCTAAATCTACTTACCATGTATAGGAATAGGAATTCAATTCTTGGGTAGGAAGTAGTATTCTAATTCCTGAAGAATTAACCTATTAGGAATTCATCTTTTTTTCTCATTATATCCTTACACAATTTTAAAATTTTAAAATTTGCCATTTACTTTAACCCAACAACGAGGATATTATAGTAATTAGTACCAACCCCAATTCCATATGGTTTAGTAAACAACTTCAATAGGAATCCGGAATCTAACTTGCCTCAATCCATGTGGTTTAGTAAACAACTTGAATAGGAATTTGGAATCTAATTCTCCTCAATCCAACTCCTCCTCAATTCAATTCATCCTAATCCCATTACGGATTAGTAAATATGCCATCAAAAAGTAACGAGTAAGAGGGAAACAATATTATTATAGAGATAGAGAATGGTAGGTCTGTCAAATCACCTAGTGATGTTGGTGATGAAAGAAGCTGAACATACAAGAGAAGGCAATAAGCTAGAGAGCATACTTTACAACAAGTCAAAGATTTCATTGTTATATTATAAGATATTGTTTGTGTAGATCTGCTAGAGCATAATGATACGTTATAAAATCCAAGTCTCATTTATTTTATTATGTGGCTTGTTCTCTTTTCCACAATAAAATCCAAGTCTTCAAAGTTCAAGACTTGGAAAGGTCTTTCCATATTTTTTCATTTTCTTACTTGGAAGACGGTTTGGGAAGACTTTTGGGGGTTTTTTCATTTTCTTAATTGAAAGATTGCAGTCAGAGTCTTCGTCTCTTTGGAAATTTTGCATTTTGTGTTGGAATTGAATGGAATGAAATTGATAGAAGTGAGAGCTTGATTGGATGTTATTGGTGGATCGTCGTATGCGCTTGACAGAAGGCCAAAGAGACTTGGGAGTGGCTGTCACTTCACCTGGGTCGTTGTGGCCGTACATATATATATAGGGTAATGATTTCTCCACTTCAATTTTATTCACTTACACTCCTTTTTTAGTTATAAAATGGAGTGTAAGTGGATAAAATTGGAGTGGGGAAATCACCACTTTCTCTCTCTCTCTCTATCTCTCTCTCTCTCTCTCTATATATATATATATATATTTTCGATTACAAGTAGGGCTGAAGCCCAAGAAAAAACCAAAAAGAAAACTACACTGGGACAAGCCTAGCAGTGGTCATCCTAACAGAGTCATTTGCCTAGAGGCTTACAATAGAAGGAGGGGGAAGATCAACAACATGATAACCCAAATTAGAGCTTTGACCAATATGTGCCATATGGTCAGCATCAATGTTTTGTTCTCTATAAATATAAGAAATGGAACACTCACAGTCACACAATAGCATTAGTTTTACAGAAAGAATTAGTTTCAAAACAAAAGAATTAGTTTTACAGAAAGTGGGTTGGATATTTATGCGATTTTACAAGGAGTAACGAGTAAAGAACAGTGAAGAGTCTTTGGCAAAACATATAAAACGGATCAGTGAAAAGTTATGCTTCAAGAACCCAAACTAACAAACTTGCACATCTCTCTCACAAAGCCAAATAAAACTCCCACTGACTTACTTCCTCCACTGTGGCTAGAACCGAAAACACATTATACATACAAAACGTTAAACCATGGCATTGGACAATTGAATTATTGTTTCATTTTTTCTTTCCCTCTCACAAGGAAAAACATTTCTAGCAACAACGGTTTGGGGTTTTCACACTGAAAGTCTTTGTCCCTTTTCTTTGAAGTTGAAAAAAACAACTTTTGCATTTTCTCAAAGCATGATTAACCCTGAAAGTGCGCTAGCCAGACAGAGAAAATGGTATAGTCCTGTCACGACTAGAACAATTCAAACAAAACATGCTTCTTGCTTTGCTTTACTGGAAAAATTAATCCACTCCAGCTGTCCCCAACAAATCTGAAGAGGAATAACTCGTCAATGTAATTTCATCCACGCCATTCATTTCCATCCTTTATTTTCTTCTTTCTTTCTGACCTAAATCATCACGCAAAGAATAAGTTTCAAAGTAATGATAGATGTATACATTTTAGTCCCACTTCCTAAATTTTGATGGGTGCATTTTTGCTCAACACTTTAACTCAAGGTATATTATCATTACACTTCTCAACACTTGACATGTGTCTATGGGTATAATCATGGTTGGTTCCACAAATACAAATCAAAGAGTTAATTATGGTTATGCCCATGGATACATGTCAAGTGTTGAGAATGGTGATTAGGATACACTTTGAGTTAAGTGGGAAGCAAAAATATTTTCAAATTTTGATAACATTATTAACATTCTAAATTTTGATTCAAGCGCTTTGACTTTCACCCACTGTTTGTGTCATAATCGGCACTTTTATCCAGGTTTAGTCCATGATGAATCTATTATATGAGCTAACTTGTGGCTTATATGACCTAATTTCATGAGCATTCCACATGTGATTAGCCTGAATTGTGCTCCAACCAATCTTACCCATTAAGGAGTTGAATTTTTATTATGTTAGGGTAGAAAGCTGGTATATAAACAAACTTAGACGCAAAAAGGTTATTCCCACAATTATCATAGTTGATATCAAACTGGTCACATTTATCATGAACAAATTCCCAAATAATTCCAATATAAATATGAGAGATTTCCAATTGACAACTCCTACGAGATCTAACAATTGCTTTTGAAGATTGTTCTGCCACACCCACTGGTGGAACCACAGAAGCACAAGAAGGTGCATCTCCCTCGCTGGAAAAACCTTTGGAGGTGGTTGAAGTTGTCACTCCTTTGGTGCCCACCACCTGTTTGTGAAAAATGCCTCAAAAAGGCTGAGTTCTTTTCTTGGGTCCTCGCAGCACACCTATATTTTATTTTTAAGAAATTCTGGCTAAAACGATGTCGTTTTAAACAAACCACAAATAAAAAAAGAGATTTTCTATTTAAACCCCGAATTTCTCTTTGTTCACCCCAGTACTTAAATCATTAAGCTATAAGTTTTATTATTGTGTAAAAAGACAAAAAAAGGTCATCCAACTTTAAAAATACAAACTATACACACACCCCACAACTCTTCAAATTAAGTTTTTGAAAAATACAAACTCTTCTACATCCTATTGCCAGATTACTTTTCTCTTTTAAAGACGTAGAACATTGACGAGCCTACCTCTTTGAAATATGCACGGGAGCTGATGTAAAGACTTGTTGATTGTTTCGCTGTAATGATCTTATTCTCTTCCCTTTGTTGATTGCTTTTTTTTTTTTGGTACTCTTGGCTGTTGATTGCTTGGTTGTTTTGATTTTTGATTTAGAATGTATACATGATGTTTTGATAAAGCTCTTCTCTTTCTGTAGAAAAATCTGATTTTAGGCGACCACCTGTGAGTTTGAGCACCACTTGCGTATTATGACATATACAAGTGCAGAAAAATCTCAAATCTCATTTGATACATCTGATTTTTCTGCGTATTACATTTGATACAAGTGAAACATCTGGATCCATCTTTACCCACGTAAAAATACAAAGCACATGTTACTAATAATATGGATCCATCTGGATCCCCTCTTTTCAAATTTCATCACCGTAACTAATAATATTATTAATATTAATAATAAAAATACTTTTGGTATTGAAAGGTCCTGCACACTTTGGTACACTACACTGAGTCTGAATGGTACAGTACACTGAGTCTGAAAGGTCCCGCACACTTTTGGTATTGATGCAGCTTTTTTTTTTTTTTTTGGCAACCAGAACAAAATACTTTTACTCCAAGCCATGATACCAGGATAGAAAGTGTTT